ATATGTTCAAAAATAAATGCTAACGTTCCTTTGGAATACAAAAACAAGCATCTAAATATAAATATTAATAAAACATTGAATTAAAAAATTAAAACAGAAGTTTTTTTCCCCTGAAAGTGTGGGCCAAAAATGTCAGTGTACATTATACACGGCAAAATACAGGTAGGCCAGTCAGAGAAAGGACCCATACCGTGTGATCTTGCTTGTAAGTGGGACCTAATGGATGAAATAAACTGATGAACAAAATGGAAGCAGAGGCATGGATACAGGGAGCAGACTGACAGCTGCCAGAGGGGACCAGGGAGGGGGCCTGGATGAAAGAAGGGGATGGGATCGGCCAAAGATTGCAAAGGCATAACCCGTAGACACAGCAACAGCGTGGTGATAGCCAGAGGGAAGGGCGACTGTGGAGCTGGGAGGAGTGGGGCCAAGGAGGGGAAACTGGGGACATGGGCAATAGTGTCCCCAATAAAAATAAAAATAAAAAAACAATAAAAATAAAGGAAAAAATATTATCTCTGCATACCATCTCTCCTTCTACTGCCGCCCATTTCCCCATCAACCCAGCTCTACTTTGTTTTCTGCCTCCCTCAGTGCTCCTGAGCCTTCTTTTGTTAAGTTCCTTTGTAACTTTGTTTTGACAAATTCTATAGGTGCTTTGTTATTGTTTTTATTTGAACTCGTGGTGACAGTGAATAAAGTTGACCACATCCCTCTTCTCGAAACATTTCTGATCCCATTACCACCCCTCTGAACCACTCTTTATCCGTGTACCTTAAGAAAACAGTCCCTTTCCTTCTTTTCCACTTTTAAATATTAGGATCACTCAGATCTCAGCCTGGGATAGCAGCTCTCCTCACTCACCAGTTTTACCCTCCGCAGCCTCACCCATTTCTGTACCATCAAGTCCTGTCTCTACATTCATGACTGCTGTGGCACGCTTTAGCCAGGGCTGCCCATAAAAAGTCTCTAAAAACCATAAACAGGAAGTATCCACGTCTTAGGACTCAGGCTCAAGTAAAGTGAAATTGGGAAGTTGCCAGCACAGAGGAATTTCAAGTCCTGGAACCTGGTCTTTAAATCTGTATAACATGGCTTGCGGAGCTGCAGATTTGGTGTCTTATGTTGTAGTCTGAGTTGTTTCTGACAAGACCGTTTGGCTATAGGGGAACGCGACTGCTCAGGACTTCTCCGACGCAGTGTGTTACTCACTTCCTGTGGGGTGTTGGGTATAACCACTATTTGGAGTGAATCTTGGGGACCAAAAGAAAGGAAACTTGCCCAGATAAATCATTTGGTAGATATCGCTCTTGATTATTAATAAAGTAACGATGAGTTTTAGTTCTTCAGTCCTTGATTCATCTCTGATTTTTTTCAGCCTCATCTAAGGTGTTTCATATCATGAGTCAGGTGCTAAAAATGATGTAATACTTTGTGTGGGAGGGAAGGAAACAAGGATAATAGAGCACTCCCCTCATGTCCAAGTGGGCTAATGCTATGCCTGGTACATGGCAGGAAAAGAATCAAGGACTTACCAGGCACACTCCATTAACGAAAGAAAAAGAGGCATTTATGCTACTGGATTCAAAAGGAGGGGGATTAGAGACTAACTCCTCCTTGTTGTCCTACAATATTGAGAGAGGAAGGATGTGAAGATGTTTTTCCTGTAGTGTCTTGTTTTATAGCTCTTATGTTTGTTTTTGCTGACTTTGATACTTTTCGGGGACTCAACCTGAGAGTGAGGGCACAAACAGGACGCAGAGGCCCATGAGTCCCTGGAGAGCATCAGCAATTAGAGGGCTGGTGCGTGGAATTGCGGGTTGATTGTACGGGTGATGCAGGCACAGGAAGAAACCCCAATGCCCACCAGGCATCTTTAAGGAAAACAGAGCTAATTAAACATAAACATTTCTGAAAGCCACTCACTTCTAAAGTGTATCCGCTTCTCCTGGTAAGCTTCCTGTGACTCCTCTTCTCCAAGCTGATTCAGGAAATATCCATGTGAAATTGGGATCTGTTGGGGAAGAGTCTCCCACAGTTTTATATTATGCCAACTATATGTCTTTGTAAATAAATATTCACCCAGACTTTTTGGATTTAAATTGCATGTGATTTGCAATAACATCTCCCTTTACTTAATTTTCTTGAGACTAGGAAAATGCCTGGCTTTTTTGTACATCATGACAGAGCTTGTGAGAACACTTACTTCCCTGGGATTGATATTCTATCAATATATCGAGGGGTGGACTGTAGCCAGTCCTTATCTCTCTCCCTCTCCCAAAGGCCCATCCACAAGGTTTATACAGAGTAAAACTTAACTATTGATAAATTAGTCTGCTTAAGGGTTCTAAGTGAAGAATGCATATGTAAAAGGGTAATAGAGATTTAAAATTGTATGGCCATGCATTAACCTGTATTATGTCCTAACTGTATACACCAACATGGTGATCAATGTGGGGTTGCTGTCCTCACATTTTAAATTATAAAAATGTCTGAATTGCTTCTCCTCTCTTCTTTCTACCTGTTCTAGTCCCATTATAAAAGTGACAATCTATAGCAAATCTGGGTTTCACTGAATATCAAGTGTAGGTCACCAAGAAAAAATAAGGCAAGGGAACATTTGCCAGGTATCAAAAGTCACTCATGCACAAGCAAAAGAACATACTCTCTCTTGTGAGGCAGTGGTGTGGGTGAGTACGCACACTGATAGAAGAACTTATTGTCACATCACAATGAGTCGGCCAAAATGGAGATGTAAATATACTTGAAGAGATGCATCCATGTTCTTCTTCAAGAAAGAGTAATGTGGCACTCTTACAAAAAAGTACCTTGTCCAACTTATTTCACTATATCTTTGAAGAGCTGTTGTGTTGAAGAGGAAAGAGGTGTAAAAATAACATAGGTTTCTAGTCCCGTCCTCCATAATAGATTAAATCTTGGGTCTCAGTGTGGTGGGCTTGATATTCAATAAACCCGAGCGGAGTCCTGCCCAGGAGGCTACAATCCTGGTCAGTCTTCTTTTCCATTGTGTCTCCAGCCCTTATCATGTTGTCTCGTAACACATGTTAAATGCTCCACAAACGTATCTGATGAATTAATGAGTTAATGAACTCTACTATCCACCTATGCCAGTTGTTCACCCCGCAGGCTTCATGCACCTGGACTTTGATTTTGACTCCATTGTCCCACTGGCCCTGGACACCGGCCCTGAACCCTCTCAGTGGGGCCTTACCAAACCATCTACCTCTTAACAGCCTTCTCCTCTGGGGCTTGCCCACCATGACTTTGAATACTATTCATACTCCACTTCTGTGCCTCTCATGCCTTTATCAATTCAAAATTTGAATTCAGTGGATGTGGGCCATACCATTTTGGTTTCGTGAAATGTATATAACTGAACTGGATAGCCATCTAAATAACCAGTGCAATAGTGAGGCTCAACCCATTTGGATTTTTATTAAAGTTATCCACAGCAAAATGCAGGACAATGGGTAGAAATTGAAGAGAAGCTCACTATAAGGAAAAACTTTCTAATGAAGTTAGAAAATTACCAAAAACATTCAAATATGGACTGTATTACCACCTGTTTAGGGCACAGTAAGAGAAGCCCAATATTTATGAAAGGATATGTGCTTACAAAATTCATGGCAAATTTCTCCCTTTCCTTTAATCTCCATTTAAAATGACATGACTTTCTTCCCTTCAGGTTTTAAGAGACTTGGCTTGACTATGAAGGCTTTATGACCTCAAGGTAATAAAAATCAATGATTTTATTTTTAAATGTAAAAAAGTTATTTTTATGTACTAAACATAAGTTCAGATGAACTGCATCTTAGAAAAAGTATAGATGGTTTGAGAATCAATTGAATTCACTTATGAACTTCAGCCTTAATTCCCTTCAGCAGCACAGCATTTGGCAGTTTATTTACTGCCCTGAGGATAAACTTATCTATAAAAGATCAAAATTTATCTTTGTACATACACATATGTGCACATATATATATACACATACCTATATGTGTATATATATATGCACATATATAACATACACACTGCATACATATGTTTTTACTTAGGTCATTTTTTATATACCTTAAAATATTGCTTGTTTCTTTTCAACAATAGCTTGTGCAATGGCTGCTGTATTATATCCATACACCATGTCTGGCCTCATTATATATTACCTCCTTAAATTGTCACAATACTTTGACAGATTAGGAAAACAAGGGGTAGAGTGTGGAAAATATGTCCCTACTAGGGCAGGTAAGCGGTAGAGTTGGCACTGAAATTCAAGGCGGTCATGACGCCAGACCTAGATATTTTGAATTTCAAAGTGATACACTGAAACCCGTGTTATCCTGCGTGGAACCCAACCAGGACTCCCTGCAAACCTTTTGTCTCAGTCTGTTGTCCATGCACTGGTGCTACTGTTTAGTTAATCCTTCCTAGTCCACAGATATTTTATTGTCTCAAGAAATGCAATCTAGGGAGCTGAAAATTAATTTGTTAATAATCAAAGCAACTCATATTTGGGTAAGACAGATCTAAGTAGAAATTTAAAAATATATTAAAAAAACATTCAGCCATTTTTATGGGTGAGTTGTCCAAAGTGTAATCAATGACTGTTACATTGCTCTCAACACAGAATGTACACATCTCTGCTGTGTTTGGGCTACGACTCTGGGCATAACCTATTTCCTCTTGTCTGGTTGTAGAATATGCTGCTTTGATGTGGCAGTGTTGTGAGATTATAAAAAAAAATTTCTTGAATTTTGTTCCTCTGGACACTTTGTCATCCATGGGGAGTACCCAGATGTGTTTCTGAAAAATTGAGTATAAGTTCAACTTTTGAGAATAAAATCAACTTTAAATGCTAATTACTTAAGGGGATTCTCTAGTGAATTCTTTTATCGGACAAAAAAAAAAAATACATGTTTATTTGTATTTGGGCCAAATTTTTATTTTTATATATCTGCTTTGCTTTCTCTATATTTGCAGTTATCTGTGAAATTGTAGTGAGGCTGTACTAAGTCAGTTTCCCAACACCAATGCCATGTATAGACATTTGTGAATAAAAAAGTAAACCAGTGAACACCATATTTGTAAGGCTAGTTTCCGAGTCCCCAACTTCTCTGTTAACACATACCCTCATCTTTAACTGTGGAAGGTAATCAGGAGACAATATTTGAGCCTCTGCTATCATGAGGGAACTGTGGATGAACTTCCATTCAGTATAAGAACAATAAACAGAAACTGGACAAAACACTGGCTTGGCAGTCTCAGTCAGCAGGCTGGAGTCCTGCTTTTCTCTCAAATGACTTAATTTTGGTAAATTGCATAGCTTCCTTGGGCCTTAATTATCTTCATTGGGAAAAATGGCAGTAAAAATGTCTGCCCTTCATACTCCCCAAAGTTTATCAAAATCACAGGAAATATGATCTATGAAGGTGTTTATTTTGTAAAGCACAATGCAGGTTTCATAATAAATCTCATTAAGTGTGTGCTGCTTTCAACACTTCTTCCAGGCAAGGTGGAAGGATGAATCCTATTCTTTGAAGCTCTGTTGTCTTCTCTTGGAAGCATTGGCAGCAAAGAAGAGCCATGGATAAAAGCGTTGTTATTATTATAATAATTATAGTAAAAATGATAATAGCACTTATAATACAAACAACAAACAGTCATATTGCGGGGTCTCCAAACAAATCAGAATGTGGCTTCCAGTGGAGATCCTAGATAAGGTTTATTGTCTACTCCTTCTCTCCTCTCTTCTTTTCCCTTTTCCTCCAAGTGTTTCTAGATTCTTGTTCCTCATGTTCTTGGCTGGCATTCTACCCAAAGATAAAAGTGTTGATATGGTGTTCTCTTTGTAATTTTTATTAAACCGCCCTGGCTTCAACATTCATATGCCACAGTCTCAAAAGGCTGAATAAGTAACTAGTTTATTAACCTGATGAGTGGCAAACATTGAAGACATTCCTGTGATTGAGCTGAACTGAATGTGGTTATTAATGGGAGAAATGGCAAAGATCTTGACTTTGGTGTCACAGCATCCTGATGACATTCAATACGGTTAAACCTTTAGAACTTTCCCCAAGAAGTGAGAAATAGAAAGGTCATGATTTAAATTTGTGTTAAAAATTGATTAGATACCAACTTTTCAAAATATAAGGATATCTTCTAAAGTTCCAGCTCTTTGATATCTCTTGAAATATCAGAACATGTAGTGACATTGGGTCCTCCATGGCAAAAACAGCAGCCACTGAGGAGCAGCTGGTTCCTTTAGATGGGCAAGCTGTTTTCAGTATACTGGGACCCCCACCTGTTCCACTTTATTTATTTATGTCATCTATATGGCCCTTGTAGTACTTGAGTTTGTGACCCTCGTTAAACCCACAGAAATAACCTAATTAAATCCTATCTCATAACCGGTTAGTCATGGGTGAAATCATGAACAGATGGTTTAAGGTGAACATATGTTGTTGATCTGTTTCTCTAAGTTCATTAACCATTTTGCCAGCATTTTAAACAGTCTAATCATATGCCACAAACTATAACTGGAGCTGCAATTTAAAAAGGAATAATCTAGAGTTTTGTTGAACTGTTTATTTTTAGATTCCAAATGAAAGCTCCTTAGAGGTTTGATCTGTTGTTCGAAGTAGAATTACACCAGCTCAGTAAATGTGAGTCCTAGACATGTTCCAAACTGCATGCCTGACACATTCCTGTGATGTCAGAGTACTAGAAAGGGAATCTTTGCTGTGAGGTTTTTATAACACACAGTTGTGAAAAGTAAAAGTCCTCCCACAAAAGGTCACCATGTATTAGAGGTAGAGAGAGGGGAACTTAAAGACAATGTTGGTAGCACCTGGAAGCTTCTAGAGTCTTCTCAAGGCTTCAGAAACCCTAGCCATCATTTCCCATGCCTAAGGGAAGAAAGGTGATATAATTCAACCTAAGACAGGGAAAAATGGAGCCATATTAATAGCAGGGGGGCAATTTAGCAGGAGGATTATGAATAATATTGTTTGGGAAAAGTTCCCTTTTCCTCGAATCAGAGAGTTAATTATCTAGGGCTCTGAGATTAAGTCGTGGGCCCACAGAAAGGGAACCAAGACAAATGCTTGATATTTTTCAGTGGAGATTATAGATCAGAAGCACAAAAGGGGTCTATGTGATTCCATATGGTCTGGAACAGGTCACTGGGCCCGAAGTTTCTAGTATAGAGGTTGGGGTTGAAGTGTTTCTATATTTGTGTGAATGAGAGGACCTTGCAAGTGTGAGTATGGCTCGGACGGATGACCGATCAAAGAACTAGGGGTCTCGGACTCAAAGACAGATAACACCTTGGGGTTTCTAGAAAACAGAAGACCCTCCTGTCTGACTTGGGGCAAGGGAAGATTATCCTAATCTTTGCCAACCAACTGTCCAATTACCCATTGGGCGAGGTAGAGAGTGGCTTAGGACTCTAGGGAGAAGGGGCAGAGCAAATGACAAAAGAACATTTTATTTGGGGTGTAAGCAACCACTTCCTGCACAGCTAATAAGTCAAACTCTCTGTCGAGACCCATGTAAGGTGGAGAGCTGTTGGCTCAATAGTATACCATGTATAAAAATGTTTAATATTGTCACTGAAGAACACAGCAATGGAGATTCCAAAACCTCAATTTAGCATTCCCCAGCTGTCATGAGTCAGAACAAATTTAGTGTAATGAGGAAGAAAAGGATGGATAAAAAGAACAGCAATGGTAACCAGTCACAAGGAATAACCAATGTGTAGCACAAGGAAGTTACTTTTTCTTCTTGTCAAACTCACAGACAAAGTACATGGTAAGATGGCACTCTGTGTCATTCCATCTGCCAGAGCTCAGCATTTCCACACAGTCCTCTTGACCATAGGGGTCGCTGGGCTCCCCTTCCTTCCAGTTGCTGTAGTTCTGCAGTGGAGTGTTGTCCGTGAACACATACTCCCCCTCCCTCTCAAGGTCATTCACCCCAATGAAGACCCGGAAGAAGCCACTCTTGGCGACATAGTCGGCGATGAGTGTGTTGGCAGCTTCGTCCTTGGGCATAGCTAGCATGCCGCCCCGGATCCTGCAGTGGGTCAGGGATTCCCTGTAGCTCTTCTCCTCTTGCACAATGTAGTAGAATTTCTCGTCCGTTTCCCTAATCCCTGCTATGACTTCGCAGAGAGGAAGAGTATAATTATGTGTCTCAAAAACAGAAAAGGCAATTATATAATATTTCTGGATTTAAATTCATTTCTTCAAGATTGTACAATTATTTTGCAAGGTCCTATTATGAGGTTGGCACTGGTTGAATATTTCCTCCACCTTCTTAGTTATCAAGTGGAGAAAGAACTCCTACCAGTTGTCCTTTCCGCCATTCCTTTCTAACTTCCCACATGACTTTCAAGCAGACAGCTACTTGTTATATGAACTGCCACCCAGCTCATCTCAGACTATTTTTTCCCATCCTACTGTATGCTTTTGCCACACTTACAGTCCCATGTACATGCCTTTCTCTCTTCCATTCCAAGCCTTTCATGCCTGAGAATTTTTCTCACTGCTTCTCTAGCTGGGACTCTCCCTCTCATCCTTGAGATCTCAGTGGCAGTGCTTTAGACTATAGAAGCCTTTCCCCGAATAGACACCCGGAACTCTTGTCCCGTGTATCTCCATTTCATAGTACTCAACACAGTCTAGTCTTCTACTAAAAAGTGAACATCTTGAGAACAATATGACCTTGTCTTTGCCACTTTGTAGCCTTGGTGCTTCCAACAATGCAAAGGATGGTAGAAGCTTTTTGTACTGCTATGGGAATCATTCAGAAGTTTTTCCACTTTGGGACAAACTCCCGGGCTGTGGACACGTGCATCTATCGAGATTGCTTATATTTCACTCCAGGTACATGAAATAGACTGAGCTACTGAGTAAGCTTTGAGACAGAATTAGGGACTTAGAATCATTTTGAGCTCCTAGTGTGGTATAACTCTTTTGGGTTTCAGGGGCATCAACATATACTTTTTAGCGTTCATAAATTAAATTTGCAAAGAAATCTCAAATTGACCACTCAAATGTTAAGAACTATTGCTCTATGTTGAACCATTGGGGTTTGGTTTCTTCATGAGTGTCCAAGTCACATCAGAGACAGCATCTTGTGTGCAGTTTATAACCAGAACTATAATTATGGTCATTAGTTAGTACTGAGCATTTCTGGTGCTCCTAGTATTACAAGATGAGGGTGAACACAAGATGGCATCTGTGTACTTCCAGTAATGTGCAACAAATACAGCTGGATTGTAATAAATGAAAGTATAACAAAATGAAACTGATTGTAACACTAACAGCAGTAGTTCCCTCATTCATACTGTCTCAGAGGAGAACACATAAGCCCCACTTTAAGGGCTTAACTGCTAACTATACTGGGGAAATGGACCAGGGTTAACAAAAATGACGTATAAAAAATTGCATCATTTAAAGAAACATATCCTGTCCTTATTGATTTGCTTTCAAATCCTTGCTCCACAGTTTATCAGCTCTGTTATCTATGGACAAGGTCATCTTTCTAAGCTTCGTCTTAATCATAGCATTTATATCATAATTATTAATATTCCAAGTACTCAAGGAGCAGCTATTGTTTTTATGATTCTCTTTTTTGAGATGATAGCGCTGTCTGAATCTTGCTGTCCTTTTTTATTCTTTAGGCATGGCTTGCCAGACTGAACTTTTCAACATCCCTTTCTCCAGAAAGTAACTTTTTCTACCCATAGTTAAAGCAGTTTGTACAAGTATCTGTGGTGGACTTGAAGTGTCCTGGAGTTGGAGTGGATTACTCGTATTTTGGTGCATCTATCTCAGCAGTACTTGGCCCAACCAAGGTATTTTCTGCTAGAAATACTGGAATTGTAAGGTTGAAAGAGACTAAATCAATAAATAGCACAAAACAAAAGAGAATATGCTCACCGTTCTTGACGAACTTCAGAGATGTTTTGAGGCGAGCCACGCTAATGTCCAGTTGTCCAACAACCTTCCGGTATCTTCCACAATCACAGACAGTACCTTTTAAATGACAGAAACTGTGAATTCATGTTGAAACATGGGCAGACCTGTTGAGAGAAGCCATTACTCTTCCCAATATCTACTTTCTTTTTCTAGTCTACTATGTTTCTCTGTGAGCAGCTATACTTTTAAACTTTTATTAAAAAGAAGTTTCCTAATTTACACTGCCTTAGGAATTCAGAATATATTTTTGTGACATATGTTGAATGAGTTAAAACACAGTTCTGAACCATCTTTTCAAAAATAAGAGTAAACGTAGCAAACCACTGCACACATATTGTGGACCATTTGGCATTTTTGTTGAACACAGGACGTGACGCTCCAATTTCAGAAGAAAATCTTTACAGTTTTCTTAATACATATTTCTAGCCAGTCCTCTTTTCTGTAACTACATCGTTCGCTCATTTGCACAACCCTCTAAGGACAGGAGAAAGCGTTCAAGAGGAAATCAAGTGTAAACTCTGATGATCCATTGGAGTATAGCTTGAATGTTTTGAGAACTAAGTTTAAATCTTATGAATAGTTCCAACTTATTTCAAGAAGCAGTCATTGCTCTTGTGGGTTAATTATGATTTTAATTTCTGCCATTCATTTCCTTTTGCTCATTTTTCTTTTCAGTTACCCACTGACACTCTGGCAGAGAGGAATTATAAGGAAAAAGGTATGAAATTCAAAGGAGTCTTTTTTTTTTTTATTTCTTGGCTGCTTCATATAAACATTTCTGTGTGCTTTTTTCTTAGGTGGTTGAAAAATAAAAAGTTTATTGGCCAAAGGGATGAAATCTGTGGCTTTATTTCTCCATATTATCAACGAAATAAAAAGAATTAAAAAAAGAGTCCTTGGAATTAGTCTTTACTACATCCCTGTGTATAGAAGCAACTGAAGCCCCCCACATAATTTGCTTTCTTTCCCTGCATATAGTGCTGGAAATAAAGTGCATGGGAAGAAGGTCCATGGCCATTGAAGGCATCTCCTGTAACCACAGGGCCTTTCTGGATTAGGCCAATTTGCTTCTGGCCAGCTGTTGGCCAGGGTTTGGGTGAGATGGTGGTGGAATATGAGGCACTCTGCTGCGGCCCAGGGCTGAGGCCACTGTGGATTTCCCTCATCGTCTGGGAGAATGAGGCTGCTTCCTGATGCACTGGATTGGCTTCCCCGCAGTAAGCATGACGGGATGGAATGTGCCATCACCCCCTTCCTCAGGGCTTGGAAAGTCACCAGCAATGAAGAGGAAAGTTCCCTTCTTCCCTTTCCTCTACCCTGAGTAAAATCAAGTTAGGTACACTGACAGGATCCTTGTTTTCTCATAAAAATGGAATTTGTGCTTTTTGAGATAAGAGCATTTGGAATAATGCCAGGAATTAAGGAGAAAGACCAGCAATCCTACCTGCTTTGCCTTTTCCTCCAGGAGCCCCAGGCAGACCCTTTTCCCCTTTGTCACCTGAATAGAAACAATAGCCCCAAAAAGAACAATTAAAACAATGGATCATTTTGAACAGACAATCCTTTATGGAGCTATAATCAGAGGAAAGAGTTTTTAAATTTAATTTGCAGTATCTCCCACCAGGATTCCTTGGTTTTATATAAATAATTTGATTTTGAGTTGGCTGCACAGGTACAGCTAATCAAACAAGTCATAATTGATTTTTATGGAATATAGAATTCCAGTAGTTTGTGTAAGAGACATTTAAATTTCTCTCACCTATCCTACAAACATGTGTTTATAATGCAGCCTTCTGAGCAAGGCTAATACAATTGTCTGCATGTTTTTAATTTTAGAAATACTGTTGTTTTGCATATATGGATCAGTTGATTAACACATTGCAGCATCTACTTATTATGCACTGAAGTTCTTCCATGTGGTTTTGCCCTTGGATTTTCAAAAACATGTATTGTGTTTTTTCAAATTAATTCAACAAATATTTACTATTTACTTATTCTATGCAAGACAAAACCCTTGGTTCTTTGAGAGGATATAAAGAGACAAAATTAAACTTCTGACTTGGAAGAGTTTTACACATTCTTAGAAAAGACAGGATGAATGCAAATATCTATAAATAGTGTCAAATATGTTATACTGAAATATGAACCATGATATTTTCCCTTCTGTTCTTCTTTGCATGTGACCATTTCTTATTCAGTCAGAGGCATCCACAAAATAATTCTCAGAGCATCAAGATTATTACAGCAGACAGGAAAAAAATGTTGATTTTTTTTTTTACTTCAAAATAAGCTCTTAAGGCCACATCAGACAGAATAATTGAAAGCAAATGCTTTTGATTTTCAAGAGGAAGTGTTTGGGTGGACTCATTGAAAATTAGAAGAGAAGATCCTGATAGAAGCAAATAGCACTAACGCTTCAATGGTGATTGGGAAACAAAAGAAGAAGGGGCCCAGGAGGCATAAGTACAGGACCAAGGTCATCCGGGCTGGAAAGGAGTATGTGGCTGACCCAGTCAGTGTTTGGTGTGGCCAGGGAACTGGGTGTATGACTCAAATGGGCCACGTGATGGGGAACAAAGCCAGCATTGAGGCTCTGCCTAAACCCGTCCTTTCCCACCAAAAGGAAAAGTAACAGGAGCCTTTCCAGAACCTGCAGGGTGTCCTGTGTTCCCTGCCCATTAGCTATTCTCTTCATCACTGTTTGCTTAGCACTTTAGAAAATTTTTAAAAAGTATACTCTTTAACCCATACATCCAAAATATTGTCATTGCAACAATTAATCAATATCAAAATATTAATGGGATATTTTGCATTTTTTGGGCATTAAGTCTTCAGAATTTGATATGTATTTTACACTTAAAGCACATCTCAGTTTGGACTAGATGTGTTTCAAGTGCTCAAAAATCATATGTCACCAGTAACTGTGGCATCGGACACTTTTGCTCAGTGCTCTTTATTAATAGCCCTGTACATATTGATTGCTGATCATCCAGAAAGGCACACACGCTGGGGCCCCCAAGATTTGCTGAGTCTTTCCACATGGACCCATGCGGGCACTTTTCTTTACAGTGAGGCCAGTCATTTAGGAGCTCGCTGAACAGAAGGAGGTGGTCCTTGAAGCCCAGAATGCATGGTGAGTGTGTGGGAGGACACCTCAGAGCTTGCACTTGGAAGAGATGAGAGATGGTGAAATCTATGAGATGGTGAAATCCATAACAAAAGAATGCTGTGAATACTGTAAGAAAGACTTTGCACAGAGGTCACACTCTGGGGGAGAGCTGGAAGAGACAGTGCTCTGGCTGGAAGGATGAAGGAAGGCTCTCCTGACAAGATGCCATTGGAATTTGGTTATTAAACTTCAGCAGGTGAATATGGGAGCAAGAGAGGAGATAACGTTCAGCAGAGACACAGGTGGGATAAAAGCATTGGAAATGTGCCCGCAACCTGCCGAGGAGGATTGATCTACTCCCATTGAAGCTGTGTCCTGCAAGTTCCATGTCCTTTACATGTAAATTGGAAAGGAAAATAACAGATTTTGAGAAGACATTAATGAAAGAAAGAAAATATAGATTTGCCAAGGGCCAATCATTTGTCAAGTACTATTCTGGATACTTTATAGATGTAATCATATTAAATCCAATGAGCTAGGTACTCTATCATTATCTGTCTTTTACCATTGCAGCAATTGAGTATCTGAGAGTAAGTTGCTCAAGGACATCCAGCAATCCAATGACACTTCTGGTACAGAAGCCCAATCTTTTCGGACTCCCCAGTTCATAGTGCTACCCAGATGTGTTAGCCAATGTTTTAATGAAAGAAATTAAAGTATTTGAAAAATGTTATCAAATGTTGAAAGGAATACCAGTCCTTGGCACTGCCAAAAACAATATAGGCTTGAAAGATCATGTGAATATGGTTCAATATTTTAATTATTTTAAAATAGTGTACTTTCTTTGTATGTAAATCCCTTTCTATTTAAAATAGGCTGAAAATTGATCCTAGTTCTGGGCTATGCTCAATGATGGACATAAAAGAAGCAAAAACAGAATATTTGCTTTGGAAAAATGATGGGTTTTTTTAAGGAAAACAAAGCACCCATCAGGGCCTAAGCAGATGGCACACTATTGCTGTCATGTACTAACAGAATAAGATAAAATACTCGTTAAGTATTTGAAGAAGGCAAAGATGGCTGTGGATCAGAGTAGAGAAGGCTTTGCTGAAGTGATAGCTTTTAGTTAAATCTTAATAGTGTGAAAAACACGTCCTGAATTGATGATTTGCTTTTTTTCTGAGAAGATGTTAGCACTGTGATCACTTTTCAGTATTTTGACACAAATTCCTTTTTTACAGATGGAAAAAGCAAAGCGGTATGGTGGAGTGAAAGGCTATCGAAGCCTGAACAATGAGGACTTGAATCTTAGCTTTGTCACTTCCTAGCTATGGAAAGGCTTCTTCATTTATTTAAGGTTCTATTTCTTATTTTTAAAGTGGAAATAAGGGTACCTAATACCTAAGACCATTAAAGAGGGTAAATTAGATAATGTTGTTTTAACATGGAATTACCTCTGTGCTGGACTCACAGAAGATGCTCAAGCATTGTTAGATTCTGCCTCCTAAATCAGAGTTATGGTAAAGGTAAGTATAGCAAATACCTAGCCACTTGATGGAGGATGTGAACTTACAATACCTGTTCCCGCCAGACAAATTTTGGTGTAAAGCCATACACAACGCCTAATTTTGGTTCATGAGTGGAAACATGTTTGTAATAACTGTCCTAAAATTGAATAATTAGAGGTTGCAGTTAAACAAATAAAAAATCATAATGCTTTCACTGTAAAGGGATTATTGACCTTAAGTAAAAACATTTATTTTGCTATGAGATTTAATTTACCTATAATAAATTATTCTTTCTTATTCGTGAAATGAAATATTGACATCCAGAAACCTACCTGTCCATGCAAGTGACATTAAGGTCAGTCTGGAAAGTTGAGATTAATCTGAGTCAGTGAAAAATTTAGAAGGGCCATTGACAAAATGAAGACAATAAATTTTGAAGTACAGATTAAAAATGAAATTAATCCTGGTGAGCCAGAACACTGAACCTCCATTTTTTTGAAATTTCAGGACATGCTCATAAATTTTGATGGCATATCTCTGGAGAAGAAAGAAATCTTAGTCAATGGTGGAAATTGATGTTAAGGGCAAGTGGTACTTAAAAAAATAAAGGGTAGAAAAGAGAGCTATATTATAAGAAATAATATATTTATAATTCACTTTTTTCATCCTTAATGCAACTAATATTTTAAAAGTTTCTACTATATAATAAGCATTAGGATAAAGTGATTAAAAAGTAGGCTACCCACATACGGCTTATATTTATGTAAGCAAATTGACCCAATAAATATTTCACTCATTTGTTCCCTCTAGAAGTTCCCAGTATGTAGGGCAAAACAAGCAAACTAATAAGGCATGGCAACAAGGAAAGTGATAGAAGAATGCATGAGGAGTTTATGCAACTGAGTGTGAGTGAAAAATTGTCCTGAGGAAGATAAGGTTAGTTTATCATTTCCAGACTTACTTTTCCAACATTTGTGGAAGTTCATCTACTTTGGCACTCAGAAAATTATGCCAACACCCTTGACCCTTCCTTGTCTCTGTCATCTATCACCCTACCTTAAGACAGGTTACCTTGTCTTAATCTACGAAAGGATGAAGACTTGGCTCAAGATTATTAACTCTGTCTTTCTTAGTTGGAGTCTCATCTAAATTTGACACACTTAAAGCTAGGATCATGCAACATCTTGAATAACTCATTGTAATAGGAAGTTCTTGCATTCTGCATGTGTTCATGGCAGAGATCACCTTCCCTTTCCACTTCTGCCAATTGCAGGACAATACTCGGGATCTTAACCTCATCTAACATGAATGCATCTCAGAAATCTTGAAGTCCAACATTCCACTATTTGGTGATGTCTTTATATCCCTTTAGCCAGCTGTTTAATGAAGTCGATGCAGTCAGGAGCATATCCACAATGAATTTTATCTAAAGCTTTGAAGAGCCCTCTTTAGGAGAAATAGTACCAAATTACAATTGGAAAAGTGGTTATAAAAATGTATAGCTATAGAAAAAGACAGGAAAACAAATCACTAAATTTAAAAAAAGACAACCCATTACAAATTACACTAAAAATAATAACATTTTAATTAATAAATGAATTTTGTGCCACTATAATTCTTTTTTATTTCATACACTATGGGCTGCAGATGTTTGGCGCATTCATGAATATCCAATTGACCTAGCACTATTGATTGAGAGGCTCATCATTTTCCATTGCAAAGTAATGTCAACTTTGCATAAATCAAGTTTGAGAGTCTGTTTCTGCATGCTCTGATCCTTTCCATTGATCTATTTGTCTCTGCACTAAATCAATACTATCTTCATAGTTGTAGCTTTATAAAAAATGTTTAAACCCAGTGACTTAAGTCATCCAAATTTGTCTTTCTTCTTCAAGAGTTTCTTTGGGTATTCTTGATCCTTTTCATTTCCACACAAATTTTGCATGGACGTTTTAAATTTCAAAAAAACTACTCCTGGGATGTTGACAGAGCTAACATTGAATCTATAGATCCATTTAGGGAGAAATGACATCTTAACAGTATTGAGTCTTCCAATCTGTGAATGTAGTTTTCCCTCCCTTTCCTTAAATATTCTGTAATTTCTCTCATTACTGTCATGAAGCATTTATTGTACAGGGCTTACTCAGCCTTTTAAATTTATTCCTAGGTATTTGATAACTTTGCCGCTATAATAAATGGCATCCTTTTTATTTCATTTGAAAATTGTTCCTGATATGTAGAAACAAAATTTATTTTTGTATGTTAAGCTAGCTGAGAAACTTAACAATACAAATAGCCAATCTCTAGATTCTTTTGTATTTTCTGGACATGCAATCATGTTATCTGCAAACAATGACCTTTTTATTCCATAATTTCCAATTATTATGATTTTCATTGCTTGTTCTTGCATTTTTGGTCTGGTTAGAACTTCTTCTATAACATTAATTAGGATTAGTGGTGAGGACCGTGCTCACCATTCCCAGTCTCAGGAGAGAAATGTTCAATATTTTATGGTTAAGTATGATTTTAAAAGTCCCTTATTGTTGTTGATGTTGATATTCCTTTAAATATTGAATCTGTTTTCCACTCTGGCTGCTGTGGCTCAGTGGATTGAGCGACAGACTGCGAAGCAAGGAGTCGCCAGTTCAATTCCCAGCCAGGGCACATGCCTGGGTTGTGGGCCAGGTCCCCAGTAGGGAGCGTGGGAGAGGCAACCATACATGGATGTTTCTCTCCCTCTCTTTCTCCCTCCCTTTCCCTCTCTAAAAATAAATAAAATCTTTAAAAATATTTTTCCCTCTATTCCTAGTTTGCTGAGTTTTTAAAACATGAATGAGTATATGCTTAATGAAATGTTTTTCAGAATTTTCTGGAGTTCTAAGTGGAAATTTCCATTTTTGAAATAGAAAGGAGCAGCACTTTCCAAGGCCAGTCTTCTTTGGCAGCCGTGGATGCAGCCTGAGCAACTTTCCACACCAGGCTCTCAGTCTCCTAGTGCTTTCTCACTTAGGAACTGGTGTATGATTTGAGAGGAAAAGTAGTAGGTATACAATGTATAGCTTACCTTGGAGTGGTTCCCTTCTCTGGATTATGGACCTGAATGCCCTGTTCAGTTTGGCAGCCTATTCATTCCTTTAAATATATCTGGGGCTTTTTTTTTTTTTTTTTTGACACAGCTAGTCATTCTTCACAGAAAGACTAATGCAGGCAATTCTCTCATAGCCTGCTTATAGTTGTATAAACTTGAATTTTGTTTCTATCATTAATAGTGTAAGACCATTTATTTTATCTTTACAACTTTTTATTGACAATGTAGGTAAATTGAGAGTATTGTCAAATATAAGAATATTTCTATAAAGTCTTTTTCATATATAAGTTGTTAGATTTGGAAAATTTTCTGCAGACTAGCTCTGGCCTTATACATTTCAAAACTTGTTTCTTTTCTACAATCCGCATGTTTCTTGTGCTGGATGGCCCAGGACACATTCATAGGATGATCTGGTCTCTTCCTTCCTCCCAACTTTTTAATCATGACTTTAGATAGATCTGGACAGTAAATGATAGGCATAGTCTTGGGAGCAATTCCTTCATTGGAATTGTTAGCTGTACATGAAAGTAACTGCAAACTATATAAATAAGTTCAAACTGAATATTTCTTTCACTCAAGTTCTTCTTAGCTAGCTCCCCAAATACTTGACATCTACTCCAAAAGCCACCTACTACAAGGAGAAGTATAATGCAGAGAAGTAGAAGCAAAAGGAGACAGTAATGTTAACTTATGCATTCTCAATGGGGACAGTATGATCTCAAGGATGCAGCAGTCAGTTCTTAAAAGGAAATAGAATCTTAGTCTAACCACAGCCCATAACAAATATATCGTCCATGGGTGATATTAAAATTTCATGGGTTGTGGGGGGGATTAGGAAAAATAGGTCTAAAAATCTTGTCAGGGGACAATATGTCTAAAAAATTTTGTTGGGGGGCGCTAGTTTTCAAAAATGTTGAGAGGAAGTATTTTAATCAGTTGAGGCTAAAATGTCTTACCTTTCAACTTTACCAAGACACTTGTTCACCTATTGCCAAGGACTCTTTCTGACGTTGGGGTCTTGGGAAGGACCCAAACAAGTGTGGGGTTCTGAAGCCAAAACTTCGTTAGCGTCATGGTAAATCTGCGCAGACCCATTACGCAGCAGGACTCACGAACTCTGAGTGGCCCATGTGGCTCTTCCTCAGCTGTGATGATTTCACCCACACAAGTGTGTATACAATAAGCCACCGGATCAAAAATAACCAGAGCGATTTCTTTTCAGTGCACTGCCCTCCATCCCTGCCTTCCAATGCAGACTAAAGGAAGGTTCTCAAAGGAATGAGCTGGGAGAGAGTAAGGAGAGAAGTACTGGACTACAGGGAGCCAGGAGAGGGGCCATGCCCTCAGCTCAGGCCCCATCTCTCAGCCTGCTCAGGGAACACACCAAGGACACTGAGAGGCATGTGTTGCATTATGGGCCTGGGCAAGCACATGTGGCAGGCCGGAGGGTACAACAAGGCTGCGGAATTCTGTCACCGGCGGCACCGAGCTTCCCCTGACCTGAGCCTTCACACAACTTTCTCCTATATCCCCAGCCCCCCATGACTTTCCCCATTTCCACAAACATCTTACTGTTCTTCAAGACCTAGATCAATTCTTCATGTCAACCTTGTTTAGTCTCCCAGATGGTTCCTAAAGTAGTCACAGAGCTATGCAGCATTTTATTTTTTTTTCTGACAAAAAGCCCTACATTTCTAAATAGTCTGTTTCTGCAAAAAAATTTTGATTTGCATTCAGCTTTGTATCTTCAAACGAAGTGGAACAATGCCTGTATGAATTACTGAATATCAGAAGCAATTAGAACCTTCCACCATTGTGGGGCTTTTTGAGAAGACAGGAAGAAACTACTTAGGTAAGAAAAAGAAGGCTATTACTTCTACTTTTGTAACAGAGGTATTTGCAGTATTGAAGCAGTAATTACATACAGGGTCAGGACAGGCCTGAAAACAAAAAGATGTTCTTTTCCTGTTAATAGATGCCTGACATAGAATTATAATTACACCACTCAAAATAAGAAATAAAATGATACTGCCCTTCGCTACCTTGAGTTTTATAAATAATCGTTTTCTACTACTGAACAACCAAGATATAGAGGAAAAATCTCTCATATTTTAAAAGAAAAGAAAGCAATCATTTTTATGCTACAAAATGTTTCAAATATATCAAGGGTGGGCTCAATTAGCTTGAAACGGCTGTTGGAGAATGAGAAAATGCGGCTTACCCTTCTTGCCGATGGGCCCGGTCTTGCCAATATTGCCCTGGTCTCCCATATCACCCAGATCTCCCTTAGTCCCTGAAAAGCAAAGCAGGGCATCTTTATGTCCTAACATTTTATCTTCCCTTCGAAGATGTGGCTAATGTATTATACCCACGTGAAGGAAATAGCAAAAAGCGCATTCTTCTATCTGGTATATTTATATATCCTGTGCTATACTATTTTAATAGCATTATATGTATTAAAATTAACTGTGGATAGTTATGACAAGTCTAAACCTGGCAATATGAAAATGCTTATCGATGCGATATTTCTAAAATGACTACAGCAGAGGATATTTAAGCTACAGGTCAGATAAGTGGCTGAGTCAAAGAATTCCAGCATTTTATTCTAATTCTGTGCCTTGCTAGATCCATTTTGGCTTAACTTTGGGAATCTATTTCTCCTTTGTTTTACCACCAGTTAGACTTTCTCAGCTGCTCTAAAAAGGGGGAGGGAATGTACAATCATAAAACCTATTCATCAAAGGAACATCAAAGATTGTCCCACTGAGTTTTTGTCCAAAAAACAAGATCAGGGATCACTAAGTTCCTCCAGAATTGTTGTTCATATATTCTATGATAGTCTAAACAATATTTACCATTTATAAAGCTATATTCTGTGATAAAAATTTTGCAATCGATTTTCAGATTTATAGAATAGTATACATATTTAGAGCATAAAAATGATTTTAAATTGGAATTTCTCAACATGAGGTCTCAGAGGCCTGTGAGTGTTTTCCTTTCTTTAAATTATAAAGATTTTAAAATCAGTGGTCTAGAGCCAGCACTTTGTAACAGTTGGCAGAGAACATTCCTAGTGCTCAGAAGACACATGCTTATATGTCTCAATCCCAGATTTTTGGTCTGGTGAGTAGAAACATTCTCTAATAACCTTCGTGTGATTCTCATCTCCTTTGCTCCTATTCCTTCCATGCCCCACCAGGTGTTGGAGAAAAGTCAGTAAATCAAAGGACCAAGCAATTTTCTGCTCCTTCTTATCTTCCTCCTTAAGCTCTAGGCCAGCCAAAAACAGTTGCTTAGCAGTGGCTTCTAAGCGGGGGCAGGGGACATAGCTATGGACAGAGCTGTGTTTGCAAAATTCATCGTTTCTTAGATATTCTCAGAGATTTCTGTTCCCTGAGGCTCCTGGAGTGTCCCACTGAAGGCACCTTAAGGATGAAATTTGAGAACTGTGAGTCCTGTTGACAGGAGACCTCGTAAGAACTCTCTGGTGGAGAGAAAATTGGTATCTGAAATACATTTCATGCATCTTTGGAGCAGAGGTTGTTAGGAAAGCTGCTAATTCCTAGGGCAAATCCAGGAGCAAGAGAAGAGTGGTTGGAACATTACAGTGCCAAGTTCATACCATTTTACCTACCTTTCGGCCCCATGCGCCCTACTTTGCCAAGCTTTCCCTCCTCTCCAGGATCTCCTTTTTCACCGTCATCTCCTTGTGAAATGGAAAGTGAATGAGTTGAAGTAGCTCAAGTAGTCACATAAGCACATAAGTAACATTTATTCCCTCCTTTATACATAAGAAACATAAGTAACATAAACATACTCCCCATGAGAAGGTGAACATGGTTAGAACCCACCCCTTAGCTCAGAGCTTGCCTACCACCTCCATGTGAGTTTCTTGTATATATTATATATAAAATATGTAATATACATAATATATATACATCCACCTGGACTGGACACCCAGGGGAAGAGAAGAAACTCCCAGTACCTTTTCTCTTTCACTTTTCTCCACATCCACCTCTGTGTTTAAAGAAATATACTGCTGGTAATCTCAGATAAGTTTGTCCTGACAAACCTATATTCTTGCTGGAGAATCTGGCAAATGCTGGAAGCATAAATGTTAAATACATGTAATATATAGAGGCATATCTTATATATAAACACATGTTTATATGTTATATGTATATTTATGTCTTATACATTTTGTCCTATATAACATATATAATGTATACTATAAATATATTCATATATAAATTATATAAATACATAAAATTATATAAATATATTATATTATACAATATAATATTACATATAATAATATATTATTTTAATGTTATATTGAAATAATATATTATATATAAAATAACATAAATCACCTATAATACAATTACAATATAATTATTATATAATTATTGCTCTATTAATATATAATATAACATATAATATTATCTTAGTATATTATTTAATGTAATATAAAGTAATATACTATATAAAATAATATAAATTGTTATCTTAAAGTTATAGAAATGTAGACACATAAACTTATTACTCTCTGATCAAATGCCTGGAAATCCCAAAGTTATAGGCCTGACCCAGGAAGCCGCGAACAGAAGCCCAGCTGGGAGCAGGACAGCTGCCCAGCGGTCTGTGAGCAGAGGCTGTCTGAGTCACAGGTGGGTCCAGCACCTGCACCTCACCCAGTCAAGAAGGACTGAATGAGTGGTTTAATGAAAGTACCCTGGACAGTGAATCAGGAGCTCTGGATTTTATGGCAGTCACCGATGAGTTGAGCAAATTTTAAAAGTTCGCGATTGAACTTGTTCGCTTTGGAGTAAGACAGATCTGGACTTGAGATTCAGCTTCCCCATTTACTATTTGAAGAAAGTTGAATGCTTGGCTTTCCTTTCTGGATCTCATTTTCTTCTGCAAAATGAACTGCTAACACCTATTAGAAAGGGCTCTCAAGAAGTTTAAGTAAAATAATATACACAAAAGACCAGGGACCTAATCACTGCTTAGCCATGGTGACTATTTTTATTCCCTCCTTTATACTTAAGTTTCCTCATCCTTAGCCTGGCTCGGTTGTTTTAGGATCAACAAGGTAAGCATGGGAATGTGCTTTAAAAATAAGGAACACAACACACACCACATTTTGAGCAGCCACCTGCATTATCACCACACCAATCTCAGGACAGGAGGAGCCCTGTCCATCGCCAACCAGTGGAAGGAAGTAAATAAAAGATTTCTACAGGCAAAGATGGAACTCTGGGATTAGACACTTCAGCAGAGAGAAAGTTGAGACGTTCGTGTATTTATGCAGAAAAAGCATGACCAGCCTTCCTCTGTTGTTTTGTTTTGTTTTGTTTTTTTCCCTGCGAAGAGAATGTTACTAATATAAATGAAAGCATAAGTAGCGTACGGAAAAGTTAGATTTCTATGTAGTGAGACTGATCAAGCATTGGAACATTTCACACATGAAGCTCTGGAATCTCCACTGGGAATGCCTTTCAAAATTCAATGCACAGATGATTTGTGTGATCAGAACAAAGGGGTGAAGTGGGTGCACTAAGTGACATTTCTCTAAAGTTAGTAGTGCAAGTTTATTGAGCCATTGTTTTGTGTGCCAAGCACTGTACTAATGAAACCATCATGGCAATTCCAGGAGGTGAAAATTATTGTTGCTCCATTTTCTGAATGGAAAAACTGAGACTCAACGAGGTGAAGTTGCTTGGCTACTGTCACACAGCTTGTGAGTGGTAGAACTAAGATTCAACCGCATATATATGTCTCTGCTCCTCTATGTTGCTACAAGTAAAGGGTGGTCTGCCCCCAGTCCAAGCTTCTGTGACTCTTAGCAGATTATGGATTTTAGAGAACTTGGTGCTGTGCTAAATTTTTCAGAGAGAAAAAGGGGAGATGCAGAAAGAATGATAGTTCCCTTTTAAACAAGAGAGAGTGGGGAAAACAACCCAACAGCTATTATCTCAATGACTTAATTCACAGAGAATATGCCCTTGAGGTAGTTTAGTATAACTGAGACCTGGCTTTACCACTCGCTAGATGAAGGAACTTGGGAAGTCCTTGACCTTTTTTGAGGCTTGTTTCTCTTGTGTGTAGACTGGACAAAAATAATATCTTTTTTCCCCCAGAGGGTGTTAGCAAAAGTCAAGTCAGAATAGTACGGTCCTTCGGAACCCGCTTTCAACACTCATAGGCCACAATAAATTCTCCCTCTTATTGCCTTCATTGATAGAACCAGAGGCTTGGAAACAAAGAACAAACTGACAGGGACCAGAGGAGAGGGGGCAGGGGAATAAGGGAAGAAAGAAAGGGAAGGATCTAGTTAAAGAACTAGTATAAATGACCCATTGGCATGGATAACAGGGTGGGGACTGACTGGGAGCGGCGTGTGGGTGGGGCAAGGGAGATCAATGGGGGAAAACTGGGACAACTGTAACAGGACAACAATAAAAATAGTAATAAAATAACACATCACTGTGTGCGAAGGGTGTCTGTGTATCTGTGCTATTCCTGTGACCTGCGTGATGGCTGGGGTCAGGAGTGATTTATTCCAGCATCCCCAGAATTGAGCACAGTATTTGGCTCTGGTGCTTAATAAATACAGTTGAACTGAATATGTTTTGTGAGCCATAAAATGTTTTCTAAATGTAACGATAGCTTCTATTGAATACTATACACTGGACGGTTCCTACCGGTTGACATGTATCCTGTCTTTGAATCCCCACAACAACCTCTGCAATAGATACTATTTTTAGCTCCACTTTACAGATGAGAAAATGGGGTCAAAGAGAGGTTGTTAAGTAATTTGCCAGGGTCACATAGCTCATAAGTAATAAAGCCAGGATCAAAGTGGGGCATTTGTTATCAAAGCTCATGTTCTGAACAAGCTGCAGGATTGGGAATGAATTCCTGTCTAAATATTTCTGGGTTTGGGATTGCTATTCTGTACAGTGGGACCGAAGATGCTCAGCAAAAGGCAAGATCAAAGGCAAGGGTGTATGTGAAGCACTTTGTGAATCCTAAAACCACAGGAATGTGAATTATTGGTGCCGTTATTGTTTCTGATCCTTCTCTCCCTTCCTGTGAGCTTTTCCATTCCTTTTCAAGCAAGTATGTAACTGGAGGCAATCAGATGAGTGACTTGGTCATCTACTGCTCCCTGGTGGCTCCTGATGGAGACCTGGGAGGTAAGAATAGGATTATCATTCTTCTGACCTGTGTGCCTGCATCCCAGCCTGGTGGTGAGCAGATTGCTAGCAGAGATGAAGCAAACAACGTGTGCCCTTGCCTTCAGCTTGGGTCCCCGGTTCATTTGATCATTGGGACTTGCTTTAATGAGAACAGAAGAGAGGTATAAAAGCAAGCTTTGGACAGGATCTCCCACATGGCTCACAGTTTTCTGCTTTTATCCTCTCGGCAATATTTCATTGGATTAGTAGAGCAATTTCAACTTCCTTTTCTTCTTTTAAAAATAGCTACTTACATTTTAAAATCAAGTAAAAATCTATCAACTACAATGAACTAATTTCAATTTTACAGAAATGGTTTGCTTCAGCCCCTTCAGGCCACCAGCTTGCTGTGATAATCTCTCCAGCAGAATTCCAGCAGAGCACACAGTTGACCGATTTTTCTGGGTAGGGATTTTTTCCCCCCTCAACAAGCACAAAGTCTTAAAATTAAATTCTAGTTTGAAATCAAACAGGTGAACTAGCTCAGTACCCCTGTTCAAAAACAGTAATTATTAAAAATCAGTGAATTGGTTTGGGAAATGCTGAAGAAAATTCACTGGAAGCTATTTTTTTCCCTCTGTCAAAGTAATCTTATGGACTGGAGGAACTTGTTAGCAATCATTCTTCTCATCAGTCTTGGAATTGAGTGAGATAGGTAGTATGGCGTCCTTTGTTGATAAGGCCTGACTCCTGCTTTAAATAGATCCTTCTCATCCTTACTTACATCCTTATTCATATATGCCAAGTGCATCCTCATTGTTGGAAATTTCAACAGTCACCAATTATTGCTCGGACCTCTCATGTATACCAGATACACTAGCACAGTCTTAAAGTGGACCACCTCCCAGTACTTCCCCTGTCCCATTCATAATCTCAGCACTTCTCTGAAATATTCGGGTCTCCGTGGGGCTTGCTATTTTTGTCTTCTCTCCATTCATCAAGTTCATCAGTCCCTCTGTGTCCTCACCTGCCTCCCCACCCATCCTGGACTCTTTCAACTCAGACACTGCCTTACAGCTCTCCCTATGGCAAAAGAAGTATATGGAATTGGTGAAGGCAGCTCTGGAGCAAGTGATTTAATTTCTCTGAGCCTCCATTTATTCATAAAATGGACAAAATCATCCTACTTCAGAGGGTTGGTGTGGACTAAAAGAGACAATGAATAAGGAGTGTTCAGGACAGTGCCTGGTGCTTGATAATCTCATCTGTTCTTATTTTAATAGAATTATTATTGCCATCACCATCATCACCAGAAACGACATCTTTTTTTAAACCTGCCTTGTATTCAGTATCTCATTCTTTATCCTATATTCATTGCTTACTTTTTTACTTGACTTTGTGTTTTTAATATTTACTATATACTGTAAACATTTTACATAATTAACAATACACGGAGATAAATATGTATACATTACTGAGATTTAACGATTAACTTGTCCTTGCTTCATATATTTATTTT